ATGCAGAACGTTGGTCGAGCGATTCACTTCACTTGTCTCTGACGAGTTTATGGCTTGATGCAGAGAATAGCAAGACTCACTGATGATGCCGACTACGATGCCGGAAAAAACGTCTGAGAATGTACCAGGTCTACGGTCTGATGCTGGGAATTATGATAACTACTATTGCCGATGATTTCCAAGAAGATGCGTTCTACTAAGTCGCCTTGACAACAAGACCAAGTTGCGAAAACGAAGTTAACCCAATTCATTTATATTTTAAGTTTATAGATATTTAGGTAATCATTTAATCTTGATAAGTAAGCCGATTTAGGGTCAGAGTGACATAACTTCGACAACTTGTTCATGTTTATAGAAAGTTTGATGTGAACAAGCCTGAAAGTTCATCCTTCACTGTTGTATATTTGTGTTCTTGGTACATACACAATTTGACTCAATACATTCTTGGACGCTATGCCTACGCCTTTTTGTGTAGTTCTTGAGTTGTCGTATCTAGTCTATGCTGTCAGTCTGATAGTCTTAAGAAGAGGCTCATTCGAACAAAGATAAACTCGACTTCAGCACAAACTAAACCATTAGGGAAAATAGAAAAGCAGGGAAAACAAATGTTGATTCCAGTGGGACCAGGCTGTATATATTAAAAAATGGGGAGAAAGGGAGATGCACGGGATAAAGCCTCTGAAATGCAGAGCAGATGGCGCTAGTCGACGTCCGTTGGGGACTCAGGAGCAGAGAACAGAGCCTAAGCAGATGTTATGATGCACAGAAACTCGTGAGTTACTACGACAAAGCAGGACTACTGAAGCTTGTGGAGCCAATATTGAAGGAGTCAGGACCATCTGATTAGAATAGCTATACCTCAGTAAACACTTGTTGAGCCATGGAAAAGGACTTCTTAGTAGATGGCACTGATTTGTGGAGGGCTAGCTAACTGGATTTGTGGAAACTTGAGGAGAAATATCCTAAACCAAAATGTGGTGCCAATCTTCCAGGATTATGGAGATAGGTCTAATAAAGTGTCAGAGAATGTGCTGTTCTGGTTGATAACAAGGCAATATTACTTGGAATTTTTAAGCAAGGTCGAAATCCACCATTATAAAATCAAATTAATATCCTTTATAACGATGGAAATTTCACTCACTCATTCTCTTCTCAGGTTTTTAATGCCCAAATTTGCTTGTCTCCTTTGGGGATGTGCATTTTTGAGCGAATGAAAATATGGACAAATATCCGTTGTTTGTCTCCACGATATGAGGCAAAGTATAGTTTCCTGCAATAGTTTGACCCCGGTAACAAGAGTATTTATGGTCAGGAATTGGCACATTTGGGATAGCCTGAGAGCCCAATCTCAGCGATAACTACTCAGGCAAGGCTGAATTTCCGCTAAGACTGAACCAAACAAATTCATCCAGGAGCATTGAATAGGAATATACATAAGATATTTTTCCTGATAAAGTTAAGAGATGAGTACAGGTTAATAAAAGCAGCGGGACGTATTTATTCCTAGGATTTAACCCACTTAACCCTATAAAAGTTTGTTTAAATTAAGAAATATTTTTGAGCAAAGTAACTTAGGGACAAATTAGAAATAGATTTGTATATATAAGTATGTATATATCTATTCGACAAGCAAATAATGTACAGGTTCTCACCTGAAAAGGTTATCATCCCCTTTCCAGGTATCGGAGTGGACCGTAAATAAGTGTTGACGACATCCGGCGACTCAAGTCCAAGAAGGAGCATGAAGGCAGTCACATAACCGAGAGTTTGGCCGACCGAATTGCAAGTAGACGCCCAGCCCACATTTGCTCTGGAACATAATTTGAATGAACACAATGGGGAGCAGGAAAAAGACGAATAGATGTATAAAATAACAAAAAAAGGTGAGATACAAATGAAGCTGATGAACGTATTTGAAGCAAAATAAGAAGATAGAAGAATGACTGAGTAAAGTAGATGGGCAAAAAATGAGCTACATGATCGGAATTAGTTGTTGGTGTTAGTAAAGTTGGTTTTGATGGAGCAGGAAGGGAATATTTCAAAATAAACAATAGCTAATAGCGGCCTTCTAGCTCAAGAGCTCTTATAATGGTAAGTGAAAGGCATACAAGGTTGGAAAAGATAAAAAATGTGAGATTAAGTAGCATTAAAAGGAAAAGTTAAGAGATGAACTATAAATACTTTATGTTTTATACGAATTAAGATCATTCAATGGTAGAATACGCAAAAAATGGTGAGTTCAACCGGGGCTTAGACCATGGACATCCACCAATCGCTCCATCGGCAAGAATCCGTCCATAATTTAGGTGGAATAGAATAGAATATAAAAATGTACAATCTCTTATGACCCAAAACTTTAGATCAAGTTATTTTCATTAATTACTAACGATGTTCGCTAAGAAAGCTATTTGCAGTAGGGATCATGAAGAGGCTTGTTGCTTGACCTAAAGAATATTTGTCGGAATGGCTAATAATATAAAAGTGGGAATGACGATGCACGAAATTCCACACTGCCTTATCGAGTGGAACTATAAATTGTGAAAGTACGCACAGAATAAAGAGAAAAAGAAGGCGTTACCAACAAGCCGACAGTAGGTTTTACAAGAGACCTGGTCCATGTAGCAAAGGCATGACCATGAGACTTACTCTGAGGCTTT